TGGGGCCTTGGTCTCCAGGCCAGTTTTTGGACCCGTAGGCCTTAAGCGCAGGGAGCCAAGCTCTGACCCTGCCTGCGCAGCGGGAAACAACCCGCCCAGAAACCGTGTTTGTACTTCTTAAAGTGCTCAGTTGAGGTACAAAAGGACTTGATAACGTGCATTAGGCGCACAGGGTTCGATCCGTCTTTACGCATGTGCCATGCCCTTTCACCGCTGCGCAGATCAAGCTATGGAACATTCCAGTTCCAGAGGCTCCCTCGCGCCCCCTCCTTTTTCCTTTGGTACACCCTAGGTGTTGTTCTAAAACTAATTATATGGTGGCTCCGCCCCCCCTTCCGGTGTGGTTTTAGTCTGCACAGGAGGTGGTGTTCATGCCTGCAGGCAGCTTCTTGCTGGAGCTGACAAGAAGCTGGCCACTGGTCAGACTTAGGGTCGTAATTCACACACATTTCACAGAACAAAACTTCTTTATTCTGGTAACGAATGCCTACAGCTAACATAGTTAATACACAGTACTGAGACTTACCCTCTTGAGATTAGGAATAAGACAGGAATGCCCAACATTACAGCTTCTGTCCAACTTTATTCTAGAAGTCCGAGCCAGAGCAATAAGACAGGAAAAAGGAATGAGAAATGGAGAGACAGCAAAGGAAGAAGTAAAATAAGTCAGTACTTGCAAATAATACGGTTGTATATGTGGAAAGCACAAAATTACAAACACATTGTTAGAATTAATAAATGAGCTTAGCAAGGTCACTGAGTACAAAAATAAGCAAAAATCAGTCTGCTTAGTTTGGGATAATTCTAGACATGCAGGCAGGTTGCAGTGACAACATGGTCCCTGTGTTTCCCTCAGATGAACATTTTATTCCACCGTGGAACTTTGGCAAAGCTAATTGGTTAACATCGCACAGTCCTGCTGACTAAACCACAAACTTTGTTGGGTCGTACCAGGTTTCTGTCTAATGTCCTCTTTCTGTTCCAGGATCTTGTCCCGGTGCTGAGCTGCATTCAGTCGTCCTGTCCCCCGAGTCTCCCTTGGGCTGTGGCCGTTTCCAAATCTTCTTTTCCATACCCTCAACATTTTGAGGAAACTTAAATTATTTTGTGGCATGTCCCTCAGTTTGGGTTTGTCTGGTGTCTTCTTGTGATTAGACTGGGTTCTGGGTTCTGGAAAGAGATCACAAAGGTGATGTGCCATCTTACTACGTCACATCAGGATGCATGGCTGTGGCATGGCTGCATCTCCCCACCGGCAGGTCGCCCTCTCCTGTCCTGCCCCGCAGTGGGGGCCCATCACCAGCTCCACCACACGGGGCGGGGGTAACAAGCTGAACCTCCTGGGGCCATGGGTGCCGGTGCCTCCTGCGGTTCTTCCCATCTATTCACTCCCCCAGTTGTCTGTCTACATCAGTGCAGACACACAGGTGCTTATCCTCTTCCTGTGTCACAGCGCATCACTGCCCACGTGGTGCTCAGGCCCCCGGCTCTGGCCCTGGGAGCCCTTCACGTTCTTCTTGGCTTGTGTCCTGTGGATGTGACCTGCCGTCCATCTCCCTTCCTAACACTCCCCAGCTCCTGGCTCGCGTGGTACTTTCCCATCCTCTCCCTGAAATCAGCCATTTCCTTTCTTCGGGGGAGAATAGTATCTAGAAACCAAGGTTTGGGTACAGGATGCATTTGGGTACAGGGTGTCATTGCTTCTGGGTCAGTGATTCTGGGGGCAGTTTTGCTCCCCAGGGGGTATTTGGCGATGTCTGGGGGCATGGTTGGTTGTCACAACTTGGGGGGCAGTGCTGCTGGCACCTAGAGAGTAGAGACCAGAGCTGCTGCCTGGCATCCTACAGGCGCGGGACGGCACCATGGCAGAGTCATCCACCTGAAAGGTCAGTGGTGGTGTGACCGAAGCCTTGCAGCAGCAGCTGGGGACCTTGTGCATGCCCTGCATCTCTGTGCCCGACCACCTCCCACCGTGGGCTCTGCCATAGTTTCATTCTCTGGTAGTGGGAGGCCTGGCGCCCACGTCTCCGATTCTACCTGCCAACCCACCCACCCAGGGAGAAGCCAGCTCCCCACCAGAATGTGGTCTTTACTGCAGTTCTTTTGTGTTTGGTTCAGTTCCCCTTCAAAACCCCGTTTCCTCGGCTGCTGAGGCCTGCCCCTGCAGGTGGGAGAGGCAGTGAGGAGGTGGGGGCTATGGGGCTATGGGGCCAGGGACGTGGCAGCTTGAGCCCGTCCCGTCCCAAGAGGACCACCATGTCCTGGCAGAATCAAACAGCAGTGGAACTAACACAGCCCCGGTTGGTGGGCCTGTGGGCTGGGTGAGGGTACCCTGCTTTCCCAGGCCCAGGCCCAGCCCCAGCCCCAGCCCCAGGGAGGGGAGCGGCCCCTCGGCCACTGGTTGCTGCACAAGGACTGCCCCGAGCCCTGTATCTTGGGCTCTGCCTGGCTGCCTGGTGTCCCGCAGGCCTTCTCCACGTGATGTGTGCTGGTGCCGGCCCAGGGGCTCCTGGGACTTGCTGCTGGCACACTGATCTCCAGGGAGTGGAGCCTCCCCCGGCGAGGAGCTTCGGTGTCTGCCCACCCCCGCCATCCCCCCAACTTCTGCCCAGGGTGGGTGCTCCATTCAACGTGGGAGGGGCTGAGAAGGGGTGGGGTGGGGCCTTGCTGGGCAACTGGCTGCCAGTTCTCAGAGAAAAACGTGTTGATTTGATCCAAGCTGGCACAGCGAAGGGACATTAGTGCTTTACTTGTGTCTCAGGAGGAGTAAAAACCAGGGTTCAGTGATTCTAAGGTGGGTGAGGACCCAGATGTCTCTCCCGCCCCCAAATCAGAGCCACGTGACCACAGCAGCTCCTGCCCACAGTAACGCAACTTTACTAGCCCCTCATCTGGGTTGCAGAACTTCCCCTCCCGGGACCCTCCTGCTGGCAGAGGGCTTCGGCATTCACTGCACACCGCCTGCCCCAACGCATCCACAGAAAACAGCAGCTCACACCCAGAACTCTGGCATTCTGCCCCTCCCTCTATGATGTCCACCAATCCTGGACGATAGATGCATCAGGGCCCTTCCTGGGGGTGACCAAGACCCCGGGATCACCCCAGCCTTCCCCCAGTGAGGATGAGGTGCCGCCTGGTCCAGCCCGTGGGCTCGTGGCGAGGTCTGCGCCGTGATGGGCAGGGTTTGTGGCAGAGTGGCTTCAAGGCCATGGAGCTGGGAGGCCTTGGCAGGTCAGCCATTTGGGAGATTTGCTGGGTCCTCCTCCAGAGGCGAGTATTTCCTGTGGCAGCAGAGTGAGTCTGCTTGCTCTCAGGCCTGAAGTCGTGGGGTTTCCATCCTGGGGAGCCTAGCCCTCTGAGCACCATCCGAGGACATTGCTGTGACCTGAACCCTTCTGGTCCTCTCTCGCCTCCACAAACACCCCTGAAGACAAGCACCCCTGAAGCTGTCTTCATCTGGCTCCAGGGGGCCACCCTGATCCACCGAGCAGCGCCACTTTGGAGATAAATTAAATCAGCCCCATGGAAGCCGCCTCTGTAGAAATGATTTTATTTAGAAACCTGTGCCGTGAGCGTTAGGGCAGCATGCAAAGTCGTGCTAAAGCCAGAAGCCCGGCCACTCCCCGTGGATGAAGAGTTACAGTTGGAATGCTTACTTGTGCTGGACACTGACTTCATTTCAGGCTTTGTGACACTACCTTTGTTGAATTTAAATTCCGAAAATGTTATGAGTTGTTTAGCAGAACATAATGCTCATATAAAAGCCTAAAAATAACAAGCCACGTTTGCATGGCCAGGAGTGTAAGCAGGACCCAGACGTCTCGAGTGAATAATACGGGAAAACATTGACATTAAAAATTCAGCGTTTCATCACAGGTAGCGGTGTTCCTAGAAATACCGCTAGTTGGTTGATCTGAAGAATCACTAATGCTATAGCTCATCTTGGGTCTTGTGGCGATCTGCAACGGAAAAACGTTGGTGCCTGGGATGGCGCTGGGGGTCTGGCCTCCCTTTGTGGGGGTGTGACACACCGCCCTGGTCCCTGTGCCCCCCGCAGAGCCTTTCCTTCCCCCACGGAGCAAAGCTGACACCAGCACTTTGGAAACAGCCCTGGGGAAGAGCGAGGCACCGCTGAGGCAGCGAACTCCACTGCCTGGTCCGTCTGACGGAGCGCCGGTGGCCGCAGCCTTGGGAGCCAGGCGGGGGCGTGTGCGTCACATGCGTGGTTGTTGAAGATGGACCCCGGGCCCCCAGACAGGGCAGGGGGACACTCAGGGCCCTGGGGCTGCTGTCTGAGTCCTGCCTCCTTTGGAAGCAGAGCCTTGGCCCTGGCGTGCCTGCCCCACCGGTTCTAAGTGGGGGCAGTGGGCACGGGGGGCCGCTTGGAGTCTGCCTGTGGGAGCTTGGGAGGCTGGGCTGGGACCGGGCTGGCAGGGAGGGCTGCGGGCTGGGCCAGCCCCACCTGGGACGGCGAAGACAGGGATGTCTGACAGGGAGGGAGTGTGGACCCACTGGGGGCTCGGGCCACCAGGAAGCCTCAGGGCCCTGATGGAAGGTTTCAGAACCCCTTGGAATCTGGTCGGCATGGGGGTCAGAGGTCAGTGGCTGGGCAGACACAGGCCAGACTCTCGGAAACACTGCTTCTGGAGGGCCTTGGGGGTCAGGCTGGACCACCACGTGCTGGGTGAAAGCTGTTTATCTGAGAAGTGTGAGTGAGTATCTGGCTCCTGAGCAGTTTACTTACTCCATTTTCATTTGCAGTTCAAACCTTTAATCTTAGATTCTAGCAGAAATTCCCTCAGCCTCCACCGTCTGTGCTCCCGGGTCTGGGTCTGAGCTGCATGCTCCCGCCCCCTCGGCGCCCCTCCTGGGCCCGCCCGGCTGCTCTCGGCGGCTGTGCAGACCCCGGCGCACGCAGCAGACACCGGGCCCCCCAGCCCCAGCTCCGTCCGTGGTTTGGGTTCTGCCCAGACCCGCGTCCTCCGTCACTGGAATGTGGCTTTCATCCTCCGTAGCTTGTCCTGAATCTTCCTGCAGTGCTTCTCACTGGCCACGTGGTGGGAGCCGGCCCTGCTGTCGGCGGCGAGGGCGGAGATGTTGGCCCCGCTGAAGCGGGCGATCCTCTGCTTGAGGTAGGACTGCAGCTTGGGGTCGGGGGCAAAGGTGTAGGGGTTCTCCTGGAACGCGTGGACCTGGCTTGCCACCTTGGCTATGTTTCTGTGTCGGGAAGAAATGAGCCGTGAGTCTGCACCAGTCGTGGGCTGGTGGGCTCCCAGCTGCTCAGGCACCGTCCAGACCAGGTGCAGACTCTGAGGGGTCAGTATTCTGCGTTTAATCACAAGGCCAAGCCTCATTTCCTGACTCAGGCCGGTTTGTCCACCCCGCCACCCTCCGTCTCTGTCCATCCATCCATCCATCTGTCCATCCACACACTCTTCATCCCACAACACTGAAAATTTACTGTCAGTGCTAGAAGTCTCCAGTGGATAAACTACTAGGGGAGCACAGAGGAGGCGGGTGGGGGGGACGCGGGGTGACTCCAGGAGTGAGTTCCGTGATCGCACATTTTACTGCAGCTCCGCGTTCAGTGACCTGACAGGGCAGCTCTCAAGCTGCCGCTGGGGCCGTGTTGACACCCCGGAGGCGGGCCACCCCGTGAACCAGCCCGTCCCTCCTGAGAGCTGGAGGTTAGGCAGCGAGCAGCACACCACTGGGTGTGGTCCAAGAAAACGGGCCTCAGAACAGAGGCCTTGGTTCTGCCCGGGGAGGCCGTGGACTCTGCAGACAGATGTTCCCATCCTGATTTTGGATGAAGAAACAGTTTGTCCCATACCAACACTTGTTGTTAACGAAAAGACAGGGTGTCCACACGTGCATACGTGAACTGAGTCGGGGAGGGCTGCCCTTCGCTCCCAGCCCAGGCCCTCTGTGGACGGGGCGTTCCCTTTCATTCTTGGCCTCCATTTTGCTGACAGGGTTTTTCCGACCTCCTGCAATGAGCGCATGTGTGGTCTCTCTTAAATCCTGTTGTTAAATTGGTGACTGAACGGGGTCTTGCTTGCGGCAGGTTGGAACCACTGGGCTCCAGGTCCCCTGGGCTGTGCTCGCTCTCGGCCCTGAGGAGGCCTGGCTGCCTCCACCTGATGGCCCGTGTGGGCGATGAGGAGGGCAAGTGGGGTGAAAGGCTGTGGGGCGAGGGTCTCCCTGGGGACGGGCTGGCCCTGTCCTGAGAGGCACTGCCGGCCTGAGGGCTCCTGGGAGAGGCCTGCAGGGGGTGGGGCGTGGCAGGGCACACCCCCACCTGTGCCTTCTGAGGCCAAAATGAGCGAGGGAGTCTCATGTCCCTGGTGGGGCCGTGGTGGTGGTTCTCGCGAACATCCACCGGCCTGCTCTTCCCAGGTGGGTCCCCAGGTGTGCTGGACAGGTGAACGGACAGCTCTGGGGAGAGGGGCCCAAGGGGGGACAGCAGAGGCAGGGAGAGAGGGAAGATGTGTCTGGGGGGTCAGGAAAGTGGTCGCACAGAGGTGGGGTTCAGGTCCCTGGATCTCTCAACAGGAAGGGAGGTCACGGTGACCTTGTGGCAGTGGTTGGGACCAGGGGTGCCTGAAGTCTGGGAAATGTTGACTCCATGTTTGTGGAGAAAGGTGGCTGGGGGCCACCTGGGCGAGAGGGTGTGGAGGCCTGGGCTGGGGGGGGTACTGAGTCAGGGGTGGGTAGCCAAGGCCTCAGAGGAACAGGAGAGATGGGGGAGGCCCCTGACCTGGCTTGCTCCGCCTGTGGGCGCCTCACCTGAGCTTGCTCCACCTGTGGGCCCCATTGGTCATGGTGAAGCCCCCTGTCTCCAGCTGCTGGATGTGCATGGCCAGGAGGTGGGCTGAGGGCAGGGTAGGCTGGGCCCGGAAGCGACGTCCTTCCATCAGACACAGGCTGTCACTCTTCAGGAAGACCTGGGGGCCCAGCCAGGGGCATAGGCGAGGGGGATGGGCAAGAGGTCAGCCCAGGGAGCCCAGCAGGGGTCGGCTCGGCCCGGCCAATCCTGGTTGGCACCTGTATTCCCACCGCACGGGCTGCAGCACCCTGATCCTTGTCCACTCCACATGTGCCTTGGGTCATTGGATTGGGACAGAAAGTCCAGGTGTCCGAAGCTTGCAGACGCAAAAGGCCGCTGACACCCATCAGAAAGTGCACTTCCCACCACTGAAGAGACAAATCCCTCCCCTAACTTACTCTCCAGGCTCGAGAAAAGAGCCCGATGACCCCACTGCCCAAATTAGACAGAGACCTGGGCTGGCCGGCTGCAGGGGCCCCTGTGTCTGGTGTCAGCTGGGGACACACACCAGTCCTGCCCCCGGCAGGGAGGTGTGCCTGGGCCTGACTGGCGCGGGCCGGGCTGCTCTGGCCACCTCACTGTGGGAAATGCCTCATCCTCCAAACAGCATTTCCTCATTTATGGTCCCATGAGGTGGCCCGAGGCAGGTGGGTCAGCCAAGCTCAGGCCTGGCCTCGAGGCACCTGTGCCCTGTGCAGGAAGCCAGCAGCCCAGCAGGCAAGGCTCCTGGAGCTTCCAAGGCCGTGCACAATTATGAGGGCGCCAGGAGGTGGGCGCCCCCACCCCCGGGTGCAGAGCACCCAAGACCCCTGTGGTTGAAAGTCACCAGAAGCTCCCCACAAAGCACTGGTACCTCCACGGCCTTCAGCTCCTCCATGACCTCGGCTATCTTGGCGGGTAAAATCCTCCAGGCCTGAAATGGAAGCACAGGTGAGACCCCACGGCCGCAGCACTGCCCACTGCACGGGCTCAGCCCTCGGGGACTCACAGGGCACTGCCGCACGGCCGGGTGCTCCAGGCCGCCCAGGATCTGCATGGCTGTTGCGAAGTTCCTCTGCTCGTAGCAGGATTTTGCAATCAGCAAAAACTTGGAGAGCAAATTCACCTGCAGCTGAAACCAGAGAATGGGCTGCTCAGCGACCTCCTGTCGAAGACGGGGGATCAGGGCACAGAGCCCACGTGGGTGCATGACGGCCAGGGAGATGGGCAGGAGGCCCAGGGAACAAGAAGGCACAAAGGCGGGAAGAGAAGTCAAGCCCCCTTCTCTCCCACGACAGAGCCCTGCTCCAGGAGCAAGACTGCGGGGGGACCAGGAGGGGCGCCCGGCTCAGGAAGGCAGAGGCCGCTGCAGGACAGGGTTCCCACACTGGGCCGGGGGTCTGGCCCCACTCGCTCCCAGTGCTCCCTCGGGGTTCGCTGGTCAGCAGGGCAGTTCACCGGATTGGACAGGAACACCCCCCCCAGAACCCCCGCTGCCCCCAGTGGGACTCTCCTTCCCGACAGGTTGTGCCCCTCAGCAGACCTGATGGGCTGAGTTCACGGCTCTACAGTTAGCACTTGCATTCCACACAATTCGCGAGACTTCTGGGAGATTCTGGAGAACTCAGCTGACCCCTACTTCAGAGCTGCCTCAGCCCGTACTGTCGCCATGACTAGGGCCATTTGTCAGGTAGGAGCATTGCCCACAGTCCCATCAGACGCCCGTCTGTGGACTTGATCCTTCTCTGCAGGGATTCTGGTTGATCTAGGTCACAGGTCGGGCCCTGGGGGTCATTTGCCACCATGGCCTCCCAGCTGTCTGGCTTGAGTGCCTCTTAAAGGATCTTGAGAAGCATTTACTCGCTCCTACTTAAGTTGGCATCTCATTTTTCTTTTGTAGGTTTAGAAGGATGCGAAGTATGTAGTTTGCAGCACGTTCCAACAGACCACTCCCCCAGCGTAGAGTGAGCCCCTGGTGGAATCACGCCGTGTTCCTCCTCTAGAGACCGGTTACTCCACGCAGCCCCCGCTCACCACGCCGTGGGGTGTGGCACGACCTGGGTCCTCTCTGGGCTGAGGGGTGTTTGCTGCGTGCACGTGCTTGTGTGTGTCCAGTGCCCGTCGATGGATGGACACCCGGGCTGCTGCCTTGTCTTGGCCGCTGGGCCCGTCCCTGAAGGCTGCCTGATGGAGTCAGGGCCCCGTTTTTCTCTCGGTCCCACCAGTACTCATCTCAAGACACTCTTCTGTAAGGTGAGAAACTTCACACTGTTTCTTCTTGACCTCGCGTTCCCACCGTTCCTCGCAGGATGTGATACGAACGGCGTGCACCGTCATCACTGAGGGTTTTATTAACGCTCCCATTACATTCTCTGGCTCAAATTGTGAATTTTAACAGCTTTCTGAGACTGGAGTTTACAAACGTAGATGCCAGTCTCCCAGGGCGCCCTGACATCACCGTGCACACAGTTAGCACAGGGAGCACGTGGCCACCGGACGCGGCCAGCGCCCCTGCTGAGACCCGCCCTCGCAGCTTCACTGGGTGCTCCTGGCTGCTCCCCTCCGTCCAGTGTTGGGGTGGGCGTTGCTCTTTTGCATCCTGCGCTCGCAGGGACGTGGGACTCGGTCACACGACACAGGTTTGTCACGGCGCTGGCCCCGCCTGCCCTCCCGCTGGTGCCTCCCGGTAGAGTCTGGAGATGAGCTTTGTCCTGCGGACTGACAGCACAGGCCGGGGGCACCAGCTGCCCCTTTGTGGGGGCCCGTGGGCAGGGCAGCTGTGACTCAGACTCCGGAGCTCAGGTCAGTTCCCGTCCCCTGGGAAGTCTTTGCGAAGCCCACCCACACAGGCCTCTGAGAATTCCCTGATCTGGGGAAACTGCACTTCAGTGTCACTCAGGATACTCAAAACACCATGGATTAGCACAGACCGGGGCGGGGGGGTGTCCTGGCAGAATTGGGCATGGCCAATCTGTGAGCTAATAAACCCCTAAAATTAGAAGCCCCCCCCAAAAGGGGAGAGAGCAGGGGTTTGGGGGACACGCAGGAACCCGGAGAAGGAGAGGCTCTCAGGGCCGGCCGGACGCATCTTGGCTTCACCGTCTGATGGGGAGGTGGCGGCCTCGGTGGGCTCTGGGGCAGCTCCTGGGGCAGAGCGGTGGTGCCCCCCCGAGCACCCCCCTGGTGCACTCAGCCCACTGCAGGGGTTGCGGTGGGGGACTCACGCCTGGGGAGCTGATTATTTGGGCCCAGGAGGCAGTGGGTATTCACCCACGGGAGGGGCCACGTGACAGCAGGGGCCCCATGGGCCTCACACTCATTCCTCCGCTTGTCACTGGACGCCTCACAAGGGCAGGGACACAGTGACCGCCACCTGGGCAGGGAACTGACCTCAGGTGGGAGGCCTTGGCAGCGGGTTGCTCACTGGGCAGACTTTGGAGGGGCTCTGTCTCCCTGGCTTCTCCTGAGTGGGTGGGACTTGAGGGGGCGCTGGCCTTCAGGTGGGTGGCAGCTCCTCTTGGGCAGCCCAGGGCCTGCCTGAAGCAGGTAGGTGGGTCCAGGCTGGGCCCGTGGGGCCCAGGAGAGTCAGCCTGGGTCCTGGAGCCAGACCTCGACTGGGCTGCTGACCAGCGTTCCATTTGTTCCGCAAACTGGCAGAGGACACACCAGTGCGTGTGCTGATGAGCCCGCGAGCTCAGGCCAGTGGGGCAGTCGGAAATCACAGTTCCCAGCCCTGGGTCACGATTGAGGCAGGAGCTGGGGGGCGCCCGGGGGCTGTGCTCTGGGTGGATTCTGGGGGGGGGCCGCCGTGGGTGAGTGACACTGTGCTGGGGCCTGTGAGAGGGACCGTGTGTGTGAGCACCTGGGCCGTGAGGGGCTGGGAGCGACAGACACCCTGCCTGTGTGAGGTCCACCTCATGGTGATGGGCCTGGGCAGGCCCGGAGCCCCGAAGCACCCCCAGCAGAGGGGCGCCCTTTGCCAGTAGGGTCTAGGGCTTGCAGAGAGGGGCCCTCGCTGCAGGTGGATCCTGGCCCTGCACTGGCACTGACCTTGGAGGCGTGGCTGGTTACAATCTCTGCGGCCACCCACGTGCTGACGTCGTCTGCGCTTCTTAAAAGCTGCAACAGGTACTTGTCCTGGACGTAACTGGGCAGAAATAGGCTGCAGGCTTTGGCTGACAGAGACTCGGAGGAACAGGCTCTGGAAGAGACACAAGCGCCTGTCACAGCTGGAGCACGGGGTGGCCCTTGGGGCCCAGGCGGCCGTTGGGATGGGCCCTGCGTTGGGGGGGTCGGGCTTCAAGGTGGAGCCCCACGAGGCGTCTCCCTTCGGCCAAGCGTGTCCAGGAGACACTCGGGTGAAGCCCCCAAGACCCTCCGGCCAAGTCCACGTCCAAGGTTTGTCGGATGCCCGCGGCGGACACTCACTTTGGGACGGCTGCACTTTTGTCTGTGACGCCCAGGGCCCGTGAGTTTAGGAAGTGGACTGGATGGCACTTTTGAAACAGCTCCTGTGGAGACAAGGACACAGATCCGACAGCACGCGGGGCCGGGGCATTTCTGCAGTCAGGCTGGGTCCCCCGGACTCCGTACCGGCCCAGTGACAGCAGGTGGGGTCACCGAGTCCCTGTCACTGCTGTCACCTGCCAAGTGACGGGGCCCAGGATGGCAGAGGTCCCCACCTGCTGCAGCAGCGTCAGCTGGCTGAAGAGCTGATGGGTGCTGTACTCGGTCAGGAAGTAGGGCCCCTTCTCGCTGGCCTTGGCGTAGGGGCCGCACAAGTCCTCGAAGAAGCAGGGCTTGGGCAGGGCGGACGCGATGCTGTACTGGCGCTCCTTGTGGTGAGGCAGCGCCAGCCCGTTGCCCCGGGACAGCCTCCAGGGGAAGCTCTGCAGGGCAGGAGGTGCAGGTCTGCGGACGCCCCTCCAGGTGGGGGGCCCCAGGCCCCGGACCTCTCAGACCGGCCCAGCTGAGCCACAGGGCAGTCCTTCCTGCCTGCAGCCATGCTGGCTCGAGGACGTTTCAGCGGGTCCCGGGAAAGAGCTGCTGAAGTTTGGGGCTGTCTGCACGTGTTATGGTGAGGTCCCTTCAGACTCCACCCTTATCCCAGGCCTTTTCCTGACCCAGACCTTGGCTGGAGGTTCAGGGAGGTGAGGTCTGAGACCCTGGCCAGCCCTCTGCTGTCCTTGTCCAGGGCCTGGGGTGGGGAGTGCCAGCCCCACAGGGCTGGTGCCCAGGAGGGGCCACAGGGGGAGTGTGTACATGTATGAGCACATGAGCACAGGTGTGCGTGCATGCCCCACGCTGGGCTCAGAAGCAACACCCGCCTGCCCTGGATGCCCCATCAGGAAAGGCCGCACCTTTCGGGAGATGCCGTCCTCCGAGAGCCTCTTACAGAGGGCGTTGAGGGGCCTGGTGTCCTCCTCCACCTCCCTGGGGTCCTCCAGGTCTGTGCCACGTGGGGCGCCCTCGGCCCGGCGCTCAGTGCCTGCCTCCAGGAGGCTCAGCAGGTGCTCTGCGGAGCTGTCCAGGGGCAGGATCTGGGCAGAAGCACATGGGGGTCGCCTGCGGCCCCCACTCACAGGGCCCCACCCTTGGGGGTGCCAGCCGCCCAGGGCACCTGGGAGGAGATGAAGTCCTGGAGCCTCCCCAGGAGCCCGGGGTTCCTGGTGAAGTCCACGGCATAGCAGTCCTCCAGCCAGGCCTGCAGCAGGCAGAAGCTCCTCTTGTAGATCTTGGTGAAGGTGGACGTGGGGTCCTGGTGGGCCCTGGAGGCAGATGGGGAGGCCTGAGCCACGGAGGGGCCCCTGCCAGTACCACCGTGAGAGCCTGGCACGGGCTGGCGCCTCCCCGGGGTCGCACCACCAAGCTGTGGGGAGTGGAGGGGGCAGGCAGGGGGCAGCTGTGGGGTCTGAACGTGTCTGTCTCCAAGGGGCACTTTGGGCCCACCTCGCCCCACCTGGGGGCAGAGGCTGCCACAGGGTGGGGGGTGATGACAGGCCAGCTTGGAGAGAGCTGGTCCAGGCACTGCCCGCCCCCTCTTCCCTCACTGACCCTGCCCGACGGCCCAGTGCACACCCACCTTCCCACCCGTCCCTGCCCCCGTCCTCTGCGTCCCCATTCCCGCCGTAGGCATCCTGCCGCCTGTCCCTGGCCGCCGTCCCCTCCTGTCACTGCTGACCCCCTCTCTGTGGCCCGTCTGCACCCTTTGCCTTCTGTGCCCTCGTGCCCCTCGGGGCGCTGGCCGTACCTGGACAGAGTGCCACGGATGCGGTCGAGGAGGAAGTGCAGGAAGTCCTGAGGCGCGCAGAAGTAGCGGAAGGTGTACAGGAACTGCTGCACGTAGCCCTCCAGGAAGGCGTCGCTGGGGTGGAGGGGCAGTCAGGCCGCCGCCCGGGGTTCCGGGCGGGTGCACGCACGCGTGTGTGAGTGTGAGCCCCGTGCTGGGAGGGTGGCGGGCAGGAGCACCGCTCAGAAATAAAAGGGGGAGTTACTGATCACATTAGAAATCCCCAATTATTTCCAGCATGAGGCTTTTTTAACATCAGTTTTTAAGGCCCCCACTGTATCTTCTCTTAGAAACACTAATTCAGAAAGTCACGGAGCACATGCAGCCCCAGCCCCAGCCAGAAGTCGCTGAGTTAGGAAAGAGGCAGGTGAGGGCCCTTGAGGAGCGTCCTCCACATCGGGGTGCCCCGGGGAGCCAGGATCTGGGGGAGTGAGGAGGAGGGGGGGGGCCCAGGAATGCGGGAGTGAGGCACTGGTCACCCAGGGCCTCTGTGCAGGGACGCTGTGCCCAGGCTCAGGCCAGCACCCTGTGGAGGGGGCGCCACCGGGTCTGTAGGGATGAGGCCCTCCCCTCAGGAGAGATGCTGTGCTCACACACGGTCCACATCACACCCCGTGATACCAGCACGTGCGCGCGCACACACACACGCGTCTCCCGGAGCAGCACAGCACGCCTGCGTGGAGGAGGAGGAAGCGGAGGCCTGGGTCTGAGTGGCAGCCTGGAGCCCCGGCCGGCAGGAAGCCTTCATCAGGGCCAGGAGCAGCCCACCCTGGGAGAACAGGCTCGGGGGAAGAGGCAGCTGACCTGGCAGGGCCTCCCTGCTCCCCTCTGGCTGCTGAGAGCCATTTCTGGGGTCACCACAGCCTCCAACTCAAAGAAGACCCTGGGCGTTCGAAGTAGTGTCCCGAGTCCCTAAAAGTGAAGATGGGGGCCAGGCCTCCACTGCCATCTGGGAGGAGGGCTGTATCCAAACTTGACGGGGCGCAGGATGGGGTCAGACCCCCTGCCCGAGAACCAGGTGGAGCTGGCAGTGCGGACGGAGGGGTGGTGGGGCTGGGGGGGGGGCCCGGGGCCCCTGTGGCCCTGGATGTGAGTGGTCTGGCCTCCCTGCTGCATTATTAATCAGGGAGTCCCAGAGCCTAAGCCCTGCTCATGCCCCGAAGAGCTGGCAAGAGCTGGTGGGTCCGACCTCACTGCCGCCCCCTGGGGGGCTGACTGTTAATTACGGGGTGTCTGACTTAGGAGAGCAGGTGAAATCCAGCCGTCTCTGAGGCTCCGGGGTGTGTTTAAATTTAGAAGCCCACCGGACTGTTGATCACGGGAGGCCGTGTTCCCAGGTTTTCCTCCAAAGCTCCCCCGTACACCTGAGACCCAGACGCTCAGGTCCACAGGTGCGAGTCCTGCAGGGCCCAAGACCCTGAGGCCACTCAGCCAGCAGCCCAGCAAAGGAGGCCAGTGGGAGCCAACTCGAGGCAACGTAAAGCTCTGATGGAAGCTTTCTAAAGTGAAAAACAGCGTGAAGCCTCCCAGACAGGGTGGGCGAGACCCCCCCCCCACCCCGAGGGCCCGTGTCTTCCCTCCTTCCCTGGAGTCGGGGCAGGGCCCGGGCTGCACCTGGAGTAGAGGTAAGCCATGAGCCCCAGTGGCGTGCCCGCCTGTAGGACGCGGGCCTTCCTCTGCCGGCCGCCGCGGGGCTGCCTGCTGACGTTGTAGAAGATGAGGGACGAGGACTCGTCCAGGGGGCTGAAGTCCAGCGTGTCGCAGTGGGCGGCCGCGATGTTCACAATCACCGGGAGGGCGCAGGGCTCCAGGCCCCACCGCTCCGCGTACATGACCTGGGGCAGCGAGTCCCCACCGTCTGCTCGGCCTGCTGCCCAGTCACCCTGCCCCAGGCCTGGGGGTTTAACAGGCGGAGCTCGTGAGCACCAGGCCTCTGGAGGGAGGGGAGCAGATGTGGGGGACTTGCCTGGAGGTACTTCTTGACCAGCCCGAGGAATTGCACCTTGGACCTCATTTCCTCCAGCTGCCCTTTCAGTTTGGACAACATGGTCTTCACCTCGGAGCCTGGGGCAGGGCAGAGTTGACATCAGCGGCCTGCCCCCGGGGCCCCAGGGCGTGGCCCGAGCTCCGCAGTCCAGAGAGGCTACCTTTGTTCCTCTTCTCCTTCTGCAGGAGCTTCTGGTAGAACTTGAGTGTCTTCCGGAAGTTTCTCTTCTCGATCATGAGCTGCTGCTCCAGCTCCTGGTGAGGAAAGAGCCATGAGCCCAGGGCACCTCCCACCAGCCGCACGGCTGCAGGGACACCGTGCATAGCACGTGTCCCGAGGCGGGTGTTCAGCTGAGGGGGGCGAACGGCAGCCGGACGAGTCAGCAGACGGCTCAGTAAACAGGAAGGAAGCAGTTTCCATCGACCACTCGAAGAATGAGGCCAAAATGTGAGGCAACTGGCTGACCCCCACCCTTTACTAATCGGCTCCCAGGCTGCCCAGGAGGGCAGACAGGCAGAGCCGGAGGGCACGTCCACAGCTGGGGCCGGGCCTGGCCCTGTAGGGCCTGCCTGGAGAGCTCCCCAGACACCACATCCACGGCTGGAGGGGAACCTGGGCCCACGTGTCCTGCGGCCCCCCTGGTTCTGGGGGTGGATGATGGGGGGGTCCTTGGGGCACGTCTGCGTGCAAGCAGTGACTGTCCCCAAGGGCATGTGTGGCCCTGCAAGGCCTCTCTGTGGCCCCAGGGACACCCACCGAGCCCCTCACCGCTTGCTCAACAGCCACCCCCCGGGAACCCCGTGTGGTGCAGCCATGAGCCTCGGGCCAGGGGGCCTCCCAGAGCTTCTCCGTGAGCTAGGCCTCCCTGATTTGGAGATGAAGCTTGAATACACCCAGCAGTGTAGACCCTTGATGCACCAAAGCAGCCCCACCCCCGGGCCCACCATGCAGACCCCCTGAGCCCCTGCTGTCCAAACAAGGCTTCCCGCCAGAGTCCAGAGACCCAAAGACACTGGGGGCTTCAGCCAGGCCACGTCTCTGTGAGGGAAGTGGGACCAAGACCTCCAGGCTGTGGGCCCCTGGGGTCTGCCTTGAGCACCCCGCAGCGGGAGGGGTCCCAGCTCCTTCCTGGAGAATCTGAATGTGCTCCCCTCACGTGGGGCAGGGGAAGAAGCCCCAGGGCCTGCTCCCTTCAAGGAGAGAGCAGCCTTGCCCAACTGCCCCTAGGGAGGAACCTGCGGTTCTGGAACAGGAGGGGGCTCTGGGAAACCTTAAGGGTGTCCCTGTGAGCTGGGCCCTGAGTTCCAGTGGGTCTTCAGCTGGGACGGTGAGGTTCCTGCAGGAAGCCGCTGTGAGGCTCTGGGCCGGGGGCAGAGGCCCAGGGACCACTGATTCCTGAGGAAACTACTTCCTGTTAATGAGGGTCAAGGTGGCCCCCAGTCCTGAAACGGCCACAACTCGTGAGCACGACCCTGACAGCCGAGCATTTGGGTGTTTGTTTTTGGGAGTCCAATCAGATCAAGTCCAGAAAAGGTTTCCCCCAAGCTTGTCGTCCTATGACAGCAGACCCTGCTTTCGACAGCGTCTCCTGAACGGTCCTAAGGAACAGGAAGGCCCGAGCCTGCTCTTCCTGGTGGTTCTGCTGTAAACGTGGTTCACGTGGCTGTCATGTTCCACGTGCTGTTTTAACAGGTAGCCCCACAGGTGGCCGGCACCTCCAAGCCAGGGCAGCTGTGGGGCAGGGGCTGTGCCTGCGGTGCCAGGGGTGGTGCAGCCTGAGCACAAAGCCACGTCCCTTTGCCAAATCTCGGTGGTTAAACCAGGTCCCTGGAGTCCTCTGGATCCTCCTTCAGCTCAGCCAAGTGCAAAGTGCAGAGGGGGAGAACATCACACACCGGGACCGGCGGGTAGGCTACCTCTGCAGAAACCAACGTGGGGAAGGTCGACCTGGCCCACACCGGGTTGCCTGCTGGGCCCCACCGGGAGCTGCCCCAAGGCTGGTGAGACGTCACTCTCCTGGGACAGTGTCTCGGAGGAGACGTGGGCTCTGATGTCCCACAGCCTGGGTCTGGTCCTGCTCCCCACGTGACAGCTGGCCGACCCCGGCGCGGTCACCGGAGTCGGGGGAAGATGGGGCAGGAGGGCCCTGAGACCCGCGTGCAGGCCCCGCACCTCCACCACAGAGCCACCGGCCACCCTCGCCGTCTCCAGTGTTAGAGTGAAGTGAAGCAAAACCTCCTCAGCCACATGGGCCAGGCTTCAAGTGCTCAGTGGCCACAGTGGCTGGAGGTGACCCAGTGGACTGTGCGAGTCTGGAGCGTCTCACTGTTGAGACCAGGCCTGGTGGTGACAGTCGAGGCTCGGCAGCAGATGAGGTGGCCCTGTGGAGCTGCGTTCACGGAGAACCACCCTCTGCCGCCTGGACGTGCCTCTGAACAAGGCCCGAGGATCTGCGGCTCCCCCACGCCTCTTCGCTGTGGTCCTGGCCTCTCGAGTGCAGTGGAGGCAACCTGGCCTGTGCTCCAGGGCGGCAGCTGGCGCAGCGTGGGAGAGCACCCTCCAGGCCACTTGCTCACCCACTCTGTCCGCTGTCCGGAGGCTCATTAGAGAAAACTCCCTGGGCGGGGCTTGTGGGCGCTGGGACTGAGGGCACCCATGGGACAGGGCTCCCGCAGCAGACTGACAACTCAGTTTATGAAACGTGAAGTTTGTCAGCAACACTTCTGACATCACTGACCTGCAGACCCACTCTTTCAAAAGGACCATTTTGACTGATTTTACAGATAAATCTGCACAAACCAAGACACGCAGCTGTGTGAGATGGCGTCACCCCCAGGCCCACACCCCGGAGATGCATGGAGGGACCTGGGCCGCGAGCTGGCTCGGACTGGCCAGGTCTGAATAAAATACTCAGGGTCGGTTCCCCCCAGCCTAACCTGACCAAGGGCTGTTTTCAGAGAGTTAAAGGAGCGTCAGTTCATCAGAGGGATGAACGGGATGTTCTGAGGCACAAGTTAGGCCCAGCGGCGGCTGGACTTACGTAGACCTGAGGGTAGACAAATACTGGGGAGTAAACAGAAATGGTCAGAAGCAAGCTGGAAAAACCAGAAATTGTGGGCGACGAGAAGAGGATGAAGTCAGCG